GCGTGAAGAAGGCCAGACAACAGATCTACTTCCTCCAGCAATCACAAGTCAGGGGACAGTTAAAGAGAATCTCTCAGCTTAGCCGAGAAACTCTCAAGCTGAGGATAAACGTTATCTTTGAGGAGAAGGGACCAAAAGAGAGGGAGAAGCTCTGAGAAACACCACTGTGCCCTCTTTCCACACAGGTCGTAAGGTACCTCCAGGCTTTGGATCAGTCACAGCAGAGACAGACTATTACGTTGATGGATTAAATTCAGGTTTTCTTCCCTTTCAGTGACTATCTGTGACCCGGGGCTTCTACTTCTGCATGGTGACAATTTCAGAGAGAGTGACACTCACTAGTGTAAAATGATGGTATAACTGGGTCGTCTTTCACACCACGATCTGCTCGCTTTGGAAGCAAATGGTGTGGTGACACATTTTGGGGGACATTGTGTTCCACGCCAGGACTATTTTCACTTAGAAACATGTAATGGAGCCAAGATGGACAAATTTAATCAGAAAAGTAATTGAAAAAAGTGATGTGTGTAAAACATTTTTGTTTTATAGCTTTTTCTTTGATTGTAGTATTACAGTCTGCTAGCAATTTTATGGGTTTAATGCCAGAAGTTCCACTTCTAAGGTCACATAAACAGGAAAATCAAAGTGTTTCAAACAGAGTGTAAAAATACCTTTAACACTATTTAATCTTAATAGTGAATCACTTTAATGTCTACTGAGTCTATTCTCAGGGTAGGAGAATTAATTTGAGAAAAACTTTTCTACCAATGGGAGGCAGGCTCTTTTTAGATCCTCTCCATATTTGCATCAGTATATTGTTTCAAAATGTTTGACCTGTAAAAAATAGTTTGTTAGTGAGAGGAAACAGTTTTAGCAAAGACCCACAGAACGGTGTAATTTTAAGGCATTGCCTATTAGCCAATTAGTTCCATGTTGTGTTAGGACCAACACACTTCATCTGAATTCTGCAACATAGGATTTCATTCTATTGTAATTTAATTATTCTTGCCACTCAAAATAACATGAACTCATCAATAAACCTGAGAAACATTTGTAAATACTGAAACACTTATTTTTTAAACAAAATCCAAGTTAGCAAAGACCAGCTTATGCAGGCTAAACTTACTAATGGATGAAATTTTTTAAAAATGTGTATTTTAAACGTATTCACATTTCAGAAAGTCAATCCTTCTCTTGCTGCCGTTTGATCTTTGATCGAATGAGATTGGGATAAATATATTTTTACTTTTTGCATTTTTAAACCAAATTGTATTAATCAGGCATGTTCCATTAGTGAAATTTTCTGCTTCTTGCCAAGAGGTACACCTTTTGAAATTGATATTTAGTTCACATAGACAGTATTTAGTTGAAGATGTATTGTTTATGTTACTTACGTGATTTATGCTCGTACACGCTATTGAAATGAAATCACATTCAGAAGTTCATTGTTAACTCTAACTTTCCCCCTTCTTTTGCTGACATGTTTTTATCAACAAATTAAGGTTTGGTAAATAAAAAGATTCAAATCTCTTTTTTTAGATTGATTTATCTTAATATTGTTGCCATTCAAAACAAGACTGATTCATTTTTAAGAATAAGAAATGTTGGTAAATGCCAGAATACTTATTTTTTTCTATAAGAACAAAGTTAGTGAAGACCACTAGATTCATTATGTGAATCTAATGAAATTACGGTTCCTGATCTAGGATCTGAGAGCAAAACAGCATTTATTTTCTACTTGGAGCCTTCCCCATTTTGTTCAGTGAGTGTTCTCATCTGCTGGCTTTCTTTTAGGCCTCATGGGCAAGCACACTCACACAGGAACAGAGAACCACACAAATGTAGCAGAACACATATTGTAGGAAGACACCGAATTCCTGATCCCGGCAAAACTAGAGCATAAGAGGCCTTAACTGCAAATGTAGTCCAAAAAAAATTAAAGTAGTAAATACACATAGAACAAAAGCTCTATTCTAGTTGTGCAAGGAACATAATACTCTTAAATTACTTTCTGGTTTCCATGGGGACCTTTTTGTTCTAAGATACCAATCATTAGGTTTAACGGAGCCACTTAATATTATTTCTAAATCAAGTGAGATGATTTCTCAACTGGGTAAAATGTCAATTACCGGCAGTATTTTTAAAGGTGCTAAAATCCAAACTACTTGGGATCCTTGCTTTATGCGGCACAATTAAATCTAGAGGTCAGTATAGAGGAGCCCCTCCTCCCCTCTCCAGGCAGATAAAAGCTCAAAGTATGTCTTATGGGGGGGGTACTTTACAGGATATCCGCTTTTTAAATTCATTATAAACTCAAGATAGTGGCAAGAATTTTAAATTGCAACGAGAATCCGTAGGCTCACAAAAGCTAAGTTCTCCCTCCCTTGGGCCGGTTCTGATACCTTTCTCACACATTCTTATAGAACATCTGGGCTTCTGTGTAAGCATATGTTGTATATGATATATATAGATACACGCACACACACACACACACACACAGGCCAATCTGCTTGGGCTTAAATGATGTGCCTGGGGCTAGGAGTTGTGGCTCCTTTATTTTGCAGAATGCCTAAGTATTGTTTGTCTCACAATACTGGGAGCGGAGCTGGAGCCTGGTGGGAGCCTGGAGCCTTAAGCCCAGGGCTGTGGTCTGGGGGAGGGGACGGGGTTGCGGGGTCACAAGCTCTTAGCTTTTAGCCTCAGCATGACCACAAGTTTTAAAGCATGAAGGGATCACGTGCTTTTCTTTGAGCTGTTATTCTGACTTTGTGTGTGTGTGTGTGTGTGTGAGTGTGTGAAATGCTTTGTTCTCTAGCTTTTTTTGATTGTCTAGGTATTTTGGCTGATGATTACTTTTTTTTTCCCCAAAAGAAAAAAAAAAGAAAAAAAATAAATACTTCGTGTGTCAAAGTGTCCTCACTTTTAAAATAACCAGTATCTTCATTTCACCTTGCGTTAGGCAGGTACTGAGATGGAATAAATTATTTTCGCCAGTTGGGAACTTGATCCAGACATTCTATATGTTGCAAGCCTTTAAAAAAAGTTAAGAACAAGAAAATATCCTGGTAAAGCAATCTCAAAATACCTTATTCCGGGTATTGTTCTGCCTTTAAAGGGAAAGAGGGGTGGGAGGAGGGGTAGGAGTTGGGGGGGCGAGTAGGAAGACTCTGGGAGGATGTCTTGTTTAATGAACTGTTTAAAACTTTTGGAAAATTTTAAGCTAGAGAAGTCCCTCAACATGGTATTTCCATTTGAAAGCCTCTACTTAAATATTTCACTTTAGGGGGCTACTTCTGCTTGTTCCCTTTTAAAAGGGTTGATTTCATGTTTTCCAACTTGTCTCTCAGACCAAGACACACAGGGTCGGAATGCCAAATTAAGACTTTTGATGATAATGAGATTTATTTGGGAACATTTTCCCAAATCAGGGTAATGGGTCTTTTTGTTCTGATGGTGAAGAGGGATGAAGATCTGTTTACTCATTGACCGCGAGCTCTGGCTGCAGCTGCAGGACACAATTAATTATGCTAATAGTTTGTGAGGAGCGGATGTAACTCCCCCACCCCCTTTTTTGGGGGGGGGGAAGGGGGAGTTTGGCAAAAGGGGAAGGAGACGCCCTGGGGTCGGATCACATGATATTATCTTCGCGCCACTTTCGCAAAAACCTTTTTAACTCCAGGTTTTGCTCGAGCTCAAAGGTACTGTTCTTATCTTGCTTTAATACAATGTTTCTCAAAGTCAGGCTTAAGCTCTCTTCCCTCCCCCTCCTCTTCTTTCCACTGCTAGTGGTTACCATGAAAGGTTGAAAGTTGCATTGCAGTCGGTGCCATCACACAGGAGGGGTCTGGCTGGGTGGTAAACTTAGTTTCCAGAAAGCATCAGACGCCCCAGGGTGAGCTGCAAGGTCTGTCTTCTGTAATCCGCTCGCCTGAGCTACCCTGCGCACCAGGTCGAGAGTCACATGGCGCCCTTGTCCTCTTCTGGGTTTTGGGCTGCCACAGGCTCCCCTGGTAACAGTAGTGGGGAGGGAGGGGTCCGCCTTCACTTGGCACCCCCTCTCCCTCCTTACCCCCGCGCTGGCCTTCCAGTGCTTTCCTCCTCGGACCCGGCGAGCTCCCTGCCCTCTCTGATTTGTAACTCGTCTCCCGCACTACCCCACCCCCCACCCCCGGCCCCCAAACTCCCTCCCGCGCCCGTGTCTGCCTGGGACGTGGAGGAGGTATAGTCTGACTATCGCATTTTGCCCAGTGTTCAAAGTCTGGTAGGCACCATTACATGTTTATTGTGCTTCTGAAACTGAGACATCGTCTTACTTTCCACACAGTGCACTTGGGCTTTGGCCTTTAAGTAGTCCGCCCTCAATTGGTTCTCATTAGCCGCGGAATGAGAAGAGAAAGCAAGATAATTGCACCGTATCTGCCTTGCATTTGTGCGTGTACTCGGTGGCAGCTACCGTTAGCGATGCCTGCCAAGAAACCCTGATTTAGTGGCTGGCGGGGGGGGGGGCGGTGCGCCTGGCAAAGGCGAGACCCTCCGTACAGTAGCACAAGGTGCCGGAGGATAAAACTTTCACATGTGCACAGGGTGGAAATACTGTGTATGTTTCTTTCCTCCTCGGGCCTTCGGAACACTTTCAGTCTAGCGGCGAGGCGGCGCGCATGCGCGCGCCGGGTGTGGGACACCCTGGTCCCACGGCTCCGTGGGCCTCGTCGTCTATCTCCGGTGGGGGGATGGGGCGAGCGCCGCCGGAGCGGACGGGGTGGCGGCGAGCGCGCCACCCTGGGCTCGGCGCCAGCGGCACCGGCTCCGGCCCGGCCCGCGGCCCAGGCGCGCCTTTAATTAAAGCCTGCAGCTTGGGGCAAAAGAGGGGAAAACGCCGGCTGCGCCCGGCCAGTGGGTAACGGCGACTCGGTGGGGTTTGCGCGGTGGCGGGGTGGGGGTTCCGTTTCCTAATTCCTGTGCGGCCGGGTGGGCGGGGGCGGGCTTTTTTCCCTGGGCTATTAAAGGCGGAGGGGCGGGCTTTTCCCAGGGATATAGCTTCGGACAGAGGGCCGAGGGGACGGAGCGCTCCTCAAGTGGTGGCCGCCGGGCCAGTGGCCCGCGCCGTCGGGACGCGGGGGCGCTCGGGGGAGACGTGCGCCCGCGGCCCCGAGGAGTCGCCGGGACGCGTTCCACACCCCCCCCCGCTTCTCTTCCTCCTCGGGCTCGGCGGCAGGCAGCGCTCGCCCCGGCCCCCGGAGCGCTCGGGGGACGTGTGGCGCGGGCGCCGGGAGCGGGCTGGGCGGCGCGGGGTCGCTGCGAGTGCCACCTGCGAGGGCCGGGTGCGGGCAGAAGCGGGGACCTTCGTGGGGGCCGCCGGGAGCGGGGAGGGTTGACTGCCGGGTGGGAGGGGACCGGGGTGGGGGGGACGGGGCGGGCGGGACTTGAGAGCCACCGAGTGGCAAGAGTGCACTTGAGCGGGGGAGCGGGGGGCCCCCCTTTCTCCTCCGCCGCGGACCTCTAGGCTGCGCGGGGACTTGGGGGGGCGCGGGCCGAGGGGGTGCACGTGGAGGGGAGAAAAGGACTCCCCTCCCCCTTGGCTTCTCTCCCACCAACCGGGGAATGGAGGGGGAGGGAGGCGTGGGCTTGGCGCGTTTTTGGTGCTTTGAATGGAGAACTCCGTTTCCCATGATGCTTTGTTTCTTTCTCTTTAATCTCGGCCGGGGAGGCTGCGGCTGCAGCACGAGGACGGGAGCGCGTGGTGAGAGCAGCTGGAGCACACCCTGGGCGCGGGCGCTCCGGGCCCTTAGCCCGGCGCTAGGTGAACGTGTGCGACACGCGGGACGGGGCCCGGCGGTCCGCAGAGGCTCGTGTGGACAGCGTTGGGGGCTTTGCCTTCTTTTCACCACTAGAAGAACTTGCGGTGGCTGCCCGGCGTGCGCGATGTGCACCAGATGACCGGTTAGTTAAAGCAAGGTAGTAAGTGTGCCCGGGGCGCTCTCGGACCCACGTGGGGAGCAGTTTTGCCAAGTGCAGTCGGGAGATACTATATGCATTAGGAGTCCACTGGGGAGTATTTTTTTTCTAACGCAGAAAAAATAACTTTGTGGGAGTAGAAACTCAATTTAAGAGGAAAAAGCTCATTCCTCTTTTTTTTTTTCCTCTGTTAACTTGAATCTTTCTCCCATATAGAAAGCTGAGTTTAGATTTAAGTGTAATTATAATGAATCAGTGGCGTTTTCATTTAAAGACTAGATCAGTGGCATATGGGGTACCATGACAGCAGCCGGACATGTAAAAATTCTCTCATTTAGGCAAACCTACTGCAGATTTTGGTCCCTGAATTTTGCCTTTTTGGACAAAACTTAACCCGTGGTGGAAGAGGTAGGGGAAGCTTGTGAGCCCTTTGCAAATAGGAGCTCACTTCCTCGCAGCATGTTCTTAGGTAAAATAAGCACTTGGAAATGGGAGAAGGTTTTCTTATGGACGATAATGACATGAAGGGAAGAAGAGCTAATCTGCCTTCTTTGGGTTTAATGGAGAAAATGGGTCCATAAATGTTTAAACAGAAGAAGAGCCCTTTGAAATAGATCAAAATGTGACATCTCTGGGCCATCTGTGCATTATGTGAAGGGCACGGAAGGCTAGGTTTCTTAAACCAGCTCTAACATTTCTCTCATTTTCTATTAATGGGTTGGGGGCAGGGACTGTGCATTTAATCCCCCAGTCCTATTTTGCCCAGAGGCCCTACCTCAAGAAGTGGATACACCCTGATTTTCACACGCAACCTGTTCTGGGTGCGCCTCTTCTAAAATAAGGGTGTATATCAGGGGCCTGCAGATGTACTGGGATGCAGGTCTCAAGTTTTCTTAGATGGAGAGGGGAGGTCCCCAATCCGCTTATCCTTAAGAAGTGGACTTTCGAAACTGCCAGTGTTTCTTGTGTTTCAGCTCTGTTGAACATAACTCAGATTCTTAATATTTCTCAGGATTTGGCTGAAACTCCAAAAAAAACCTAGCTCGGACTGTAAGCCAAAGGAAAGCTTGTTTCAGGAATATTAAGTAGTCCTTTCCCCGGGTTGGTGACTAATCTGTTGTCATTTGTTTTTTTTTTTTTTTTGTTTTGTTTTGTTTTGTTTTCAATCAGGTGAGTCTGCGTGGATCTGGGGAGTCTGGAAAAGAAGACCTCTGCTCCGGAAGACCTTTTTGCTCCAGGAATAGGCCTTGGCCATGTAAAAGTGCTTACAGTGCAGGTAGCTTTTTGAGATCTACTGCAATGCAAGCACTTCTTACATTACCATGGTGATTTAATCAATGGCTCCTGAGAACCGGCGTTTGCGCACAGTGAAGCCGTGGAGGCTGTCCAGCCCGCTCCTCCTAATGTGTGTCTTGTGTTAAGGTGCATCTAGTGCAGTCAGTGAAGCAGCTTGGACTCTACTGCCCTAAATGCCCCTTCTGGCACAGGCTGCCTAATGCTCAGCGTTACGACGTGGGGCCCTGAGTAATAACTTTGAATAGGGCCAATCTTCAGAGGTTCGTTGTGCAGTTTCACTGTTGGCCGGCTGGGAGCGGATGGCGGGGACGAGGGGCGGTGTCCGCTTGCATCCCAAGGAGAAGATCAGGTCCTCGTAGTACCAAAGTGCTCATAGTGCAGGTAGTTTCGGCTTTTACTCTACTGTAGTGTGGGCACTTCCAGTACTCTTGGACGATGAGGCTCTCGGAGATGGAGAGGGTATGGAGAGACGTTGCCGCTTACGGTTAGTTTTGCAGGTTTGCATTTCAGCGTCTATATATGTATATGGCTGTGCAAATCCATGCAAAACTGATTGTGATCCTGTGCGCTGTCTCCGGCTTTGTGACTCTGCACATGTGCCTCCAGTGTTCAGGCCCATTCATCCGCGGGTGGGGATTTGTGGCATTACTTGTGTTCTGTATAAAGTATTGCACTTGTCCCGGCCTGTGGAAGAAAGGAGGGTGTTCTCTTCTTATTCCCACTTGAAATTGTAAAGGTTTTAAGTTCCGCCATTTGGTAATTGCAAAATGACCTGTTTTGCTGTTGTCGGGTGGATCACGATGCAATTTTGATTAGCGTAATAGGAGAAAAATTGCACGGTATCCATCTGTAAACCGCAGGACCTTTGTTGACGACGGTCTATCAGTACTCCAGAAAGATGGTAAAATCCTTTCTCTAGTTACTGCTATTAACCAGTGTTTTGGAATGTATGTATATGTAAAAAAACAACATTAAGATTTTTAAATAAAATACTTGAAATGATTTGGTGTGTGTTTCAGCAGTCTGGTGAATGATCAAATTGTTCCTGAATGTCACTGGGCCTTCCTTGAGTTTGCAAAATAAATGAAATTTTAAAAGCTGACAAATAGGATTTTTTTTAAAGTTGAACAATGCTAGAAGATTAAAAAAAAAAAATATCTGTGGTGGTGGTGGTGGTCCTAAAGGAAAAGTTAGGCATAGCTTCTTTTCAGCTTGTATTTACAGAAAGCGCCAAGACACCTCATTTGGGGAACTTGATGATGCTAACAAATTTTGGACAACATGTGCTCCTTTTAAGTACATGTGCTTATCCATATGAAGGGATACGAAGCTGTAAACCAGTGGGGTGCCTGCCCTTCAGGAACGGGGCAGGCTTGAGACCTAGCATGAGAGAAGCGTGAACTTGTCAGTCACGGTTTGGGACTCGTGAAACATTTGGGTGGAATGGCCACTGGACAGCCACTGCACGGAGAGATGCTGCCTTTGCTTCGGAGGCTAGTAATGTGCTGGAAATAGGTTTGGGGCCCAGGGGCTCTGCAGGGTGACTGACCTTGAGCAGAAATTACTCAGGCCCTGCTAGTTCACTGTCAGACCTCGAAAGGTAGGAAAAGTAACTATTGACTAATAACACAAAAGTGTTGAGTAGTCAGCTGGTTGTCACCCAGATAAGGCCATTTACTCCAGCGCTTTGTTAAAACAGATGGCCAGCCCTTCAGAGGTTGCTTCAGTAGGTCTGGGGGGAGGCCTGAGAGTTTGCATTTCTAACCTAGGGGAGGCTGCTGCTGCCAGGCAGCAGACCACACTTGGAGAACCCCTGCTTCGAAAATCTGAAGACCTCAGCTCCTAGGACAAGTGCAGTTAGCAAAGGAAGTTAGCCTAGTTTTAATTTCACGTTTAATCTTTGGTTCTCGGCAGGAAGGCACTGGCCAAGTAAGGAGGCTCAATGCGTGTCGTTCTTACTTCCTGCTGCCGTGGGACTTGGGGAATTTTCAAACCCTTTGAATTCTCCCTTCCACCGTGGGTGAATTGCACTTTACCCTTGAACTAGTCACCCAGGTCTACCATTTCCTCGCGAGAAGGTTGGTCCACCTCAAGGACAGGCAGGCAGGTTAAGTCCGCGCTCTGGAGGTTGTAGTGGTTGGGGGGACGGATTTTAATTCTTGGTGATGAAGTGAAATCTTAATGAAAAGAGACTTTCGGTAGTAAAGTCTGTCTTCCAGTATTATGTGTGTGTGATTTTTTTAAAGGGACTAATGCTTGAGGCAATTATACGAGCGTAAAGAACTCTACAGATATTTCCTGTGCTGTCTAATGCTCGCTACTTTGTTGGTGCCTAATCATAGTGAAGTCTGATGTGACAGCAAAGTAAAGGTCTCCCTCCCCTCTAATAAAGTAGCTCAGTAAAAAAAGGGGATTAAAGCTTATTTGTTATAATCCTTAAAACCACCAAACCTCTGCTTTCATAATACAAGTTTATTGTCTCTAGTGGTTCGCTGGTGCTTTACCAAAGGTGGCTAGTATGCAGTTACTGCAGTTTCCACTTTTAATGGGCATGTGTGGAGGGGCCGTGTTCCTTAGGCGTAGGCCACGCTCCCTGTTGGAGTCCCCATTCCCTCCATTACCATCAGGGCTGAGCTGGATGATTCTAGGGCCTCCTCTGGCTTCAGAAATTCCGATCGGTCCTTGTCAAAGTAGATGTCTCAAATAATTCGAAAAGTGCTTTGCCACCTAATTCATTTGTTTAGAAATTTGGGAGCAAGGGGTATTTGAAAGCATTAGTTACAGGCAAAATTCATAATCTATACATAAAGCTTACTCATTTTTTAAAAAGATTTTATTTATTTACTTGACACAGACATAGTGAGAGAGGGAACAGAAGCGGGGTGGGGGAGAGGGAGAAACAGGTTTCCCACTGAGTGGGGAGCCCGATGCGGGGCTCGATCCCAGGACCCCGGGATCACCACCTGAGCCAAAGGCAGAAATTCAACAACTGTGCCACCCAGGGGCCCTGAGCTTACTCATTTCTTTTCTTTCTTTTTTTTTTTTTATTTGACAGAGAGAGATCACAAGTAGGCAGAGAGGCAGGCAGAAAGAGAGGGAAGCAGGGTCCCTGCTGAGCAGAGAGCCCGATGTGGGGCTCGATGTGGGGCTCGATCCCAGGACCCTGAGATCATGACCGGAGCTGAAGGCAGAGGCTTTAACCCACTGAGCCACCCAGGCGCCCCGAGCTTACTCATTTCTAAAGAATTGCAGTAAGTTCAATGGAAGCGCTACCAGGTATATGTTCCGTCTTTGCCTCGGAGGGAAGTGTAATAGCTTAACGGTTTCTCAAGGTCGTCCACGTGGGCATTAATTTTCCCTAGACAGAGGAGTTGATGTGGCCTAGGCCTAATTAGCCCAAACGTATGTTGACTTGGAA